ATTATATAAGAATCACACACTCACACCTTAAAACTTGTGTTTTTGAATTGTATCTAACATTTTCATCCATTTCGATGGAAGTAATAGACGTTTAGCATAAACAGACTAGTAAACTTCATGTTATATAAATATGCCAGTCATACATTGAAAACAAATTGGTGTAGAAATGGCAAGTAAGACATTAAAACTCTCATTAATCGGCATTGAAAGTAAATTAAACGAAGTAGAAAGACTGAAATAGTATTTCACGTAAAACGAACTACAATTAGTTTTTGCAATCGTTTTTAACAGTGTACATAAATAAAACAAGATATCTGCAACCAATAAATAAACATGTCGTTAAATAATCTTATTTTCAAAATGCATTAATTCAAACGGCTTAGAATCAGCAAAAATCCGTGCATTGTGGAAACAAATTTATTCAGTTAAAATGTTAACATGGTTAAAATATGACTAGTTGTGGAACAAGTAGTTTAGAGATGAGATGATACATTTATAAACCTGGTTATTGTGTATTTAAAACACATTTATCTTAATTAATCTGACCTGTAGTATGACTGACAAATACGCATCATTTAGTATTAAGTTTATTAGTTTATGTTAAAACTGTGTAATCCAGTGGATGGAAATTTGATGCAATTCAGATACATAAATCTTAAATTAAATTTAGGCCTAAATATTACTTTTAAATTGTCAAATTATTCAACAGAGAATCTTCTCAAATGAAAAAACAATACTATCTCTAACTAACCTGATTAATACTTCACCTCAATACTTGGGATTTATGGGTTAACCAGCTCAGTCATTCTGATGAGTCCGAAATCTTCCTTATATTTCACTTTTCTGTCACCACTGAAATCCTCGTTCATCAGTATCCACAGTTTCTCAAAGTCTGAAGCATCTAACACACTTCTGCTTTGGCCAAAATGATCAAACTTTCCAAATTTACCTCAGAAATAAAGCGTTTATATTCACACACACCTACCGTTAAGTCGTTGGCGCGCTCACAGAATATTCCCGCTCTTTCTGCTTCCATGGCGATGCGTTCACCAATGGCGCCACCTGGAGGAATATCGCGAGATTTGCCTTCTGTTATTCCTCATTTGTGCATTTGTGTGGAAAAACGTCTCAGGTTACTTATGTAACCATGGTTCCCTGAGTAGGGAACGAGACACTGCGTCCTCTAGGGGTCGCTATGGGGGAACGCCTCGTCGTGACCCATGTCTGAAGCATACATTGAAAAAACACCAACTCGTTGGACGGCGACAGCCATGACGTCACTACCGGTGCGACTATAGTATAAATAGGCGCCGGGAGCACACATCATTCACTTCTTCGTCTGAAGCTTGCGTCCGCAGCATGGCAAGAAACCTAGAGGA